TTAAGATAAAACCAGTGATGAATCAGTAAATTAGCAGTAAACAGTTGCCTAGTGCCGAAAAAAAAACGGACGTCATGAAAGATGAAGATCAGTGGAAGCGATCAGATCGCGAGAGTGGCATCAGTGCAGCTGCAAAAGATGATTATTGTTCTAAGATGATTATTTCAACTAGAATGATGTTACATCCTTCATCCGTGCTATATGTACTCCGTACTCACCAACCACAAAGAGCCGCTAGCAGGGCATTCATCAAAACAAAAGCATAGTCTTGCAGGTGTTCAAAGGAAACATTCTTTTTAAAGTATGTTGCACTGAGGAAATATCAGAAATGCTAGTGGTATTTGCACGCAATAAGGGAGCGAGTGCGGGCAGGGTATCATTGTTCCCAATCTTGTTTCAGTATCCAAAACTGCTGCTGGTGGTGATCGCTTTTACAGCTTGCAATATCAAATGACCTGTGAACACGTTATTCGGTCAGACAAATCCTTCACGAAATATGTCGGTACGGGGAAGCGTTTTGCTTTTTCTGCCACTAATTGCTGCGGAACCGTTCCTTTTCCCGCATGGCTTCTTTGATATGAGCAAAATGAAAGCTAAAGATGCCATTTATTTGAATCTTCTAGCGCTTTCGGCTCTCGAACATGGTGGTATTACAGTTGACGAACTTAATCATCTTGCTAATCAACGGTCCGAAGAGCCGAGACCGCCACTGATTGATCCATCTGATCAAAGTACGAACGATGCTACAAATTTAACTTCATTCGACGCGCCTTCATTCGAATTCACAAATTCCGAAGAGCCAACCGCCAGTGTATTCCGAATAAAACAGCCGAATGCCACAGCAACATTCATATCTAACGATACTTCTGGACATACACTAACAACGCCTATGTATCCATTCCAGCGTTTGTTTGATAGTAGGTTATTTTTGTAAGTGCAAGGAATTCACGAAATTTGATCTTCCACTAAGATATTTTAGTTCCATTTAGTGGCAAATTTAACTTCCTAGCATGTAACAGTATCAATTTACCATCGAAACGAATGTGC